TCCATTTTAATTTGGCAGCATGTTCTCCTGCGTCTTTTACTTGGGTTTTGCTTCTAATCCATTTGTTTGTTTTTTTTTTGTCCATAAGTTTCACCCCGAGAATTGATCTTTCCATCGCTCTTTGTGCTTTTACTATTTAATCCATATTAGACTTGGTGAGTGTCCACGTCTGTGAACCATACGTAAGTATAGGGAGGATACACTGATTGTAAATTCTGGTTTTCAAATATTGTTCTATTTTAGTGTTTTTCAAGATCCATCTTAGTTTTCCAAATCCTGCCCATGCTAATCTTATTCGGCAGTTTAATTTTCTTTGTTAACTTTCATTATCTGTCCAAGGTAGACTTATTCGCTTAGGCACTGTTTCTAAATTTATGTTGTTCAACTTTATTTCTCTAATGTTCGGTGTATTTGTCATAATTTTTGTTTTTTCCAAGTTCATCTTAAGAACTACTTTTTCTGAGCTTGAAATAGTTGCGTCAGTATGGTCTGTAGTTCTTCAAAACTTTTCTATGATTTTTTCTACCTGGTTTTCATTATAGATCCTTAAATCTTCCTTTACTCCATTCTTTATTTATTTATTCAATTATTTGAAATAATTGATTTTTCTCTTTCCCTCGTTTAGAAATGTGCGTCTCTTTTCCATCAACCGTTTTGTTCCATCACTTATTCTGTCTTCTTTATTTTTCGTTTTTTTTGCAACAGTCAGTCCTGCTTTCAAGAGCTTTCGTTGCATTTCTTTATTAATTGTATTCATGTCGGAGTATTCTTATTGATAATGTTCTATAAAGCTTTCGTAAAATTCAAGAAGGTACTAACTTGTTCAGAGTTCGATCTTCAACTGAGACTAAGGTTTACTAAGTGCTACGTATGGTCAGTGCTGCTATATGGCGTAGAGGGCTGGACACTCAAAACGAGGAATATAAACAGATTAGAATCTTTCGAAATGTGGCTTTATCGCAATATCCTAAAAATACCATGGACAGCGAAAATCACAAATATAGATGTCCTTAAAAGAATAAACCAAGAACGCCAACTTTTCGAAACCATCAATAAAAGGAAAACGGCGTATCTAGGTCACATCATGCGAAATGAAAAATACCAGTTCCTCCAACTTATAATCGAGGGTAAAATTGAAGGCAAGAGAGGAATGGGACGCAAGAAAATGTCCTGGCTCCGAAACATAAGGCAATGGACAGGGATTAACGACATACAATCTCTGATACATATTGCAAGAAACAGAGAATTAATGGAAAATGTGATCGCTAACATCCATTAGTGGATTTGCATCTAAAGAAGAAGAATGTTCTATAAACTCTTTTCTTAAGACTTCTCCGTACTCATCTCTCTGCTGTCGTATTTTAGTTTGATCTATTGATTACAATATTTATATGGCCTGTTTCTACTGATTTGCGTCTGTTTAATATAAATCCTTGCTCTTAAAAGGCGACGATCACTGCCAGTTGTGAATCGATTGAGAGCAGTTATATCTTCAAAAATGTCTTTGTTCCCACACAAAAAGTAATCGAACTCGTTTTTCGTCTTTTTATCGGGAGATATCCACGTCCATTTTCGGTTTTCTGGTTTCTTGAAGTGTGTATTTATGCATCAATCATCCATATTTTAGTTTCAGTACTTTCTTCTTTTGTACCTAATTTTGCGTTGAAATCTCCCATAATGATGGTATACTTTGTATCATTTTCTTCTAATTCTGTTATCAAATCTTCGTAGAACATTTCAACTACCTCTTTCTGGTGTGTTGTTGTGGGAACATACACTTGTATAACCTTGATCTTGGTTTTATAATCTAGGTCTATTATAATTTAAGCTTCTTCTTCTTCATGTACCATGTCCTTTCAGAACGTTGGTTACCGTCATAGCTATTTTAATTTTATTCACTGCCACCCTAAATAGCATGCTTGTATCTACACCATACCAATCTCGCAAGTTCTTCAACCATGAGGTTCTTCTTCGTCCTGGACTGCGTTTGCCTGCTATTTTTCCTTGCATGATATTTTGTAGCAATCTATATTTGGGACCTCTCATACATGTCCGAAATATTCCAGCTTTCTCTGCTTGATGCTTTTTATGATCTCAGTAGTCTTGCTGAGACGTTCAAGTATTGTGGAGTTACGAATCTTCTCCACCCAGGAAACTTTTAAAATTCTTCTATAGCACCACATTTTGAAAGCCTCAAGGCGATTTAGATCGATTTTATTCAGTCCAGGACTCGACAGCATAAAGTAAGACCGAGAACACGTAGCAGCGAAGTAGGCGGATCTTTATTGCCAATTTTAGGTCTCTGTTACATAACACCTTGGACATCCTTCTAAAAGCAGCTCTAGCCTGCTCTATTCTGGATCTAATTTCGTCATGATTTTCTACATTACAATTTAATTGCTATCCAAGGTAGACGATTCAAGTATCAACTTGCTCAAGTTTAGTATTATTTACATATATAGACGGTTTTATATTCTGTTGTTTACTTATTACAAGTATTTTGGTTTTCCTTATGTTAAGATCCAGACCTGCCTCCCTACAACTCTCAACGACACTATCAAGTAGTGTTTGCAGATCTTCTTGACTAGAAGCTAAGAGTACTGTATCGTCCGCATATCGCAGATTATTGATGACTTCGCCGTTCACAAGTATTCCTTCTTGTTTTTCAGAAACTGCTTTTCTGAAAATTCTTTCGGAGTAAACGTTAAAAAGCAGGGGTGACAAGAGGCATCCCTGCCGTACTCCTCTTTTAATATTGAGAGCTTGTGATTCCACACCATCTACTAAAACTGATGTTGTTTGATTCCAATATAAATTTGCAATTATTCGAACATCTCTGCCGCCAAAGCCAATGTCTTTTAGAGCTTCGATCAATATAGAGTGCTTAACACGATCAAATGCCTTTTGAAAGTCAATAAAACAACAGTATATGTCTACAGATATATCACGACATCTTTGAGCAAGTACGTTCATTCCAAACAGTGCCTCTCTCTTCCAAATCCGTTACGGAAACCAAACTGAGTGTCATTTAGGTATTCCTCACATTTATTGTAGATACGACCATGTATTACCTTCAGAAAAATTTTCAATAAGTGGTTTAACAAACTGATGGTTCTATAATCAGCACAGGTTTTTGCTGTTGTCTTCTTAGGTAGAGCTATAAACAATGAGTTAGACCAACCATTAGGTAGTTGTCCGCTGGTATAAATGGTAGTGAAAAACGAAGTTATAGCCTCTAAAACATTGCTATCCTTTATAAGCTTATATATTTCAGTTGGAATTTCATCAGGACCAGTCGCTCTGCCATCTTTTGATGATTGTATGGCCTTTATAACCTCACAGCGTGTTATTAGGGGTCCGTCGCAGTTAGTAATATCGGGAGGTGAACTACTCCTATCGTCTTCGAATATGCTCGTGACGTAATTTTCCCATTCTTTAAGTTTGTCCTCTACTTCTAATATTACTTTACCATTTTCATCCTGTAGCAATGCATTTTGTTTCTTATTGAAGATACCAGCCGCTTCTTTTACTTTTTTATACATGTTAAACGTGTCGTATCTTTTTTCGAGTTCTTCAATGTCATGACACTGTTTGGCTAGATGTTGACTCTTTGCTTCTCGTATTTTACGTCGAATTTCTTTTTGTATGCTATTGTAAAGTGTTTCGTTGGTTTTTGCTAGTCGCCGTTGTTCCATCAAATCCAGTATATCATCTGTCATCCAAGCCTGCTTTTTTGTCTTTGACCTGCCTTGTAAATTTCTCACACAGATTTATTTTACCGTCGTTACGATTTTATTTAAGCCCTCATCGACGTTTTCACCAATATTTTCTCAAATTAAATTTTCGTTCAGTTGTCTTTGAACTGATTCCTTAACTTGTAATTTAAGCTACTCTATCAGAAACGCTTTTATATGTAGAAATGTATGGCGTGAGATACTTTTTCACAAGAAATCCTACTCCACCATATGTTTCGCCTATTTTCCCTGTGATTTCCAGAGTTTAGATGCATGCATTGTTCGCCTCTTCTTTGCACTTTTGATAGTCCCACTTTATCTTGGATAGTTCTTTTGATTCTTAGATCTTTTCATCTTTAGTACTTAATTTCTTCATGTTGTATGTGGCTAGTGTTTTTTTGTTTGTTCGTATCTATTTTAGCGCATTTTGTTGAGCCTTGAACCTTGACGAAAACAGATAGAAAAAGAATAGAAGCAGTAGAAATAGATTTTCTAAGGAGAACGTGTGGCGTATCCAAAAGAGCGTATCAGGAATAAAGATATTAGAAGGAGGACAAATACTGTATATTCCAGTGTAGACAGTGAAAGAAGAAAGATGTAGAAATATTCAATAGAATTAGCGTTGAATGTACGCAGTGGAAGGAAGCAAGTGGTATGTTGTGTAACAGAAAAATTCCAATGAAGCTTAAGGGAAAATTCTATGAAACAATTATAACACCAGATATGACGTACGGAACTGAACGTTGGGTTGTTAAAAAGAAAGAGAAACAACGAATGCATATGGCAGGAATGAGAATGCTTAGATAGATGAATGGGGTGACAAAAAAGGATAAAATTAAGAATACGTATATTGGGGAAAGACTAGGGCTAGTCTACCACTTGATGCTAAAATGAGAGAGCATAGGTTAAGATAATTTTGTTATGTTTAATGCCGAGAATATGAAAATCTGCTGATCTGTGGGTTTTTGGATCTGGGGAGACCCTTAAGTAGGACATGTCGATAAAGGGGAATGATATTCATATTACTCAAGATACACACTCATAGATAAATGTAATTAGGGAAGTAAATCTTGCATATAAAAGAGAATTAGCCATACAGGAAAAAGACTGATCAGAAGCAGCATATGAAGAGGACGTGTATCCTGGTTAAATAAATTAAGACAATAAGTGCAACTGTGTCTCTGTTGAGCTATTTAAAGCAGCTGTGATAGCGTACATAAAAGAGACTACATACTAAAGGTGTAAAGAAATAATTACAATGGTTTCATACATTTATAATTTTATTTACAAAATATTATCTTCGATATCAAATAAAGTATACATATATAATTCCATACAATACAATAGCTCTAAAACTATTATTAGGAATTATGGATATATTGTTAAACGCTTTTCAACAAAACACAAAACATTCACGTCTACATCTCTTTTGTATTTTATCATATAATTTAAACAGTCCACATGTTTGTACTCTTGGAATAAGTACTCCATTATTATACTGGCATTCATAGTATTCCTTGCAACTTCCATTTACAGGAAAACGTCCAGGTACGGTGCAGATAATATCTAAGTCTCTGTTACAATTAAAGGATGCTACACAAATACCTAACTTCGAATTGAAAGAGCTAAACGGAGGACATTTAAACTGATGAATCTCGTAGTCATTACCAGTATTTTTTCGTCTACAAGTGTAGTACCGATTGCAATCTTTAGGATGGACAAAACTACCAACAGACCTACAGACTAAGGGTGCTTCATTTGGACATTGAACAGGATCTTTTGTACAAAGTTTGGTATATGAGTCAAAATTGGAGTCTTTTGGACAGTGCATAGGTATATCCATTATATCATTTATTAGAGGAATACAAACATGGTATGAATTGCAGCTTATGGGATCGGGATAAATCCCGGAAGAGACACATCTAAAGCCGTCGCTTTTTGTTGTTGTGCTTTCAGAAGGAAGTACAGTAGATTCTGTTGTTTGACCACAAGAGGATGCAACACATTTTAATGTATTCAAATCAATGCTAAAACCTAATGGACATAAATGTTGCCTTATACGGTATTTATCTTCAACCCAATCCCAAATACAATCGTAATATCGACTACAGTTTGTGGGATGTCGGAAAGTACCCTCCATTTCGCATTTTAACTTTATTTCTCCTGGACATTGTACAGGTCTGATAGTGCACACCTCATTGTCTGCATCATATAATGTACCACTTGGACACTCTAACAAATATTTCAATGTACCCAAAACTGTATCTACACATAGATAATATCTGTTACAGTCTAGAGGGTGAGCAAATTTTCCTGCTTTAACACAAACAAAATCTAGAGTGTGGTCAGTCGGCTCAGAAATGTTATTCGGGGAAGTAACACTTGAAGTAGTAACCGGGACTTCTTGATCAGTCTTGCTACCAGTAGTTATAATGATAGTTGATCCCGCTGACGTAATAATGGAGCTAGTGGTCACAAAAGACGGATCAGTAACAGGAAACTGACTAAACGTAATATCACCTTCCTGTGTGCTCTTAGTACCAGCAGCCGATGTTGAGGTTTCTTGGGTCCTAGTCGTTCTGGTAGAAGTTTCTAGTTGTTCGCTAGAACCAGTAAAACCATCTAAAGTAGTATCTGTATCACTTCGTTCGGTAATCTTATTAAACTCAGTTGAATAATTTGCAACTCCAGTAGAAATTGCTGGCGAAGTAGTAGTTACCGTAGACGACACTGGCTCTTGGCTTGTAGTGGTAAGATCATCTACATCTACTGTACTGTCATTTTCCATATTATCAGTTGTAATATAACCATCTGTAGAATCGCTTGGTACTGCAGTTGAACTTGGTTCCGAACTAGACGTTACGGCAGATGGTTCTGTCTCTTGGCTAGTAGTGGTAACATCATCTACTGTAGTGTCATTGCCCTTATCATCAGTTGTGTTACTATCCTCTGTGGAATCGCTTGGCACTGCAGTTGAACTTGGTTGCGAACTAGATGCTATGTCAGATGGTTCTGTCGGTTGGCTAGTAGTAGTAACATCATCAACTGTAGAGTCATTGTCATTATCGTCAGTTGTGTTATTATCCTCTGTGGAATCGCTTGGTACGGCAGTTGAACTTGCTTGATAACTAGTTGTTAGGGCAGATGGTTCTGTCTCTGGGCTAGTCGTAGTAACATCATCTGCTGTAGTGTTATTGCCGTTATCGTCAGTTGTGTAATTATCCTCTGTGGAATCGCTTGATACGGCAGTTGAACTTGGTTGCGAACTAGATGTTACGGCTGATGGTTCTGTCTCTTGGCTAGTAGTAGTAATATCATCTACTGTAGTGTCATTGCCGTTATCGTCAGTTGTGTTATTATCCTCTGTGGAACGCTTGGTACAGCAGTTGAACTTGGGTGCGAACTAGATGTTACGGCAGATCCTTCTGTGTCTTGGCTGGTAGTAGTAACATCATCTACTGTAGTGTCATTGCCGTTATCGTCAGTTGTGTTATTATCGTCTGTGGAATCGCTTGGTACGGCAGTTGTACTTGGTTGCGAACTAGATGTTACGGCAGATGGTTCTGTCTCTTGGCTAGTAGTAGTAATATCATCTACTGTAGTGTCATTGCCGTTATCGTCAGTTGTGTTATTATCCTCTGTGGAACCGCTTGGTACAGCAGTTGAACTTGGGTGCGAACTAGATGTTACGGCAGATCCTTCTGTCTCTTGGCTGGTAGTAGTAACATCATCTACTGTAGTGTCATTGCCGTTATCGTCAGTTGTGTTATTATCCTCTGTGGAATCGCTTGGTACGGCAGTTGTACTTGGTTGCGAACTAGATGTTACGGCAGATGGTTCTGTCTCTTGGCTAGTAGTAGTAACATCATCTACTGTAGTGTCATTGCCGTTATCATCAGTTGTGTTACTATCCTCTGTGGAATCGCTTGGTACTACAGTTGAACTTGGTTGCGAACTAGATGTTATGGTAGATGGTTCTGTCGGTTGGCTAGTAGTAGTTACATCATCAACTGTAGAATCATTGCCGTTATCGTCAGTTGTCTTATTATCCTCTGTGGAATCGCTTGGCACGGCAGTTGAACTTGGTTGCGAACTAGATGTTACGGCAGATGGTTCTGTCTCTTGACTAGTAGTAGTAACATCATCTACTGTAGTATCATTGCCGTTATCGTCAGTTGTGTTATTATCCTCTGTAGAATCGCTTGGTAGGGCAGTTGAACCTGGTTGCGAACTAGATGTTACAGCAGATGGTTCTGTCTCTTTACTAGTGGTAGTAACATCATCTACTGTAGTGTCATTGCCGTTATCATCAGTTGTGTTACTATCCTCTGTGGAATCGCTTGGTACGGCACTTGAACTTGCTTCAGAACTAGTTGTTACGGCAGATGGTTCTGTCTCTTGGCTAGTGGTAGTAACATCATCTACTGTAGTGCCATTGACGTTATCATCAGTTGTGTTACTATCCTCTGAAGTATCGCTTGGTACTGCAGTTGAACTTGGGTGCGAAGTAGATGTTACGGCAGATGGTTCTGTCTCTTGGCTGGTAATAGCAACAGCATCTACTGTAGTGTCATTGCCGTTATCTTCAGTTGTGTTATTACCCTCTGTGGAATCGCTTGGTACTACAGTTGAACTTGGTTGCGAACTAGATGTTACAGCAGATGGTTCTGTCTCTTGGCTAGTAGTAGTAACATCATTAACTGTAGAGTCATTGCCGTTATCGTCAGTTGTGGTATTATCCTCTGTGGAATCGCTTGGTACAGTAGTTGAACATGGTTGCGAACTAGATGTTACAGCAGATGGTTCTGTCTCTAGGCTAGTGGTAGTAACATCATCTACTGTAGTGTCAATGCCGTTATCATCAGTTGTGTTATTATCCTCTGTGGAATCGCTTGGTACAGCAGGTAAACTCGGTTGCGAACTAGATGTTACGGCAGATGGTTCTGTTTCTTGGCTAGTAGTAGTAACATCATCTACTGTAGTGTCATTGCCGTTATCATCAGTTGGGTTACTATCCTCTGTGGAATCGCTTGGCACTGCAGTTGAACTTGGTTGCGAACCAGATGTTATGGCAGATGGTTCTATCTCTTGGCTGGTAGTAGTAACATCATCTACTGTAGTGTCATTGCCGTTATCGTCAGTTGTGTTATTATCCTCTGTGGAATCGCTTGGTACGGCAGTTGAACTCGGTTGCGAACTAGACGTTACGGCAGATGGTTCTGTCTCTTGGCTAGTAGTAGTAATATCATCTACTGTAGTGGAATTGCCGTTATCGTCAGTTGTGTTATTATCCTCTGTGGAATCGCTTGGTACGCCAGTTGAACTCGGTGGCGAACTAGATGTTACGGCAGATGGTTCTGTCTCTTTAGTAGTGGTAGTAACATCATCAACTGTAGTGTCATTGACGTTATCATCAGTCGTGTTACTATCCTCTGAAGAATCGCTTGGTACTGCAGTTGTTATTGGTTGCGACCTAGATGTTACGGCAGATGGTTCTGCCTCTTGGCTAGTAGTAGTAAAATCATCTACTGTAGTATCACTGCCGTTATCATCAGTTGTGTTACTATCCTCTGTGGAATCGCTTGGCACTGCAGTCGAACTTGGTTGCGAACTTGATGTTATGGCAGATGATTCTGTCGGTTGGCTAGTAGTAGTAACATCATCAACTGTAGAGTCATTGCCGTTATCGTCAGTTGTGTTATTATCCTCTGTGGAATCGCTTGGTAAGGCAGTTGATCTTGGTTGCGAACTAGATGTTACGGCAGATGGTTCTGTCTCTTGGCTAGTAGTAGTAACATCATCTACTGTAGTGTCATTGCCGTTATCATCAGTTGTGTTACTATCCTCTGTGGAATCGCTTGGTACTACAGTTGAACTTGGTTGCGAACCAGATGTTACAGCAGATGGTTCTGTCTCTTGGCTAGTGGTAGTAATATCATCTACTGTAGTGTCATTGCCGTTATCATCAGTTGTGTTACTATCCTCTGTGGAATCGCTTGGTACTGCAGTTGAACTTGGTTGCGAACTAGATGTTACGGCAGATGGTTCTGTCTCTTGGCTAGTAGTAGTAACATCATCTACTGTAAAGTCATTGCCGTTATCGTCAGTTGTGTTATTATCCTCTGTAGAATCGCTTGGTAGGGCAGTTGAACCTGATTGCGAACTAGATGTTACAGCAGATGGTTCTGTCTCTTTAGTAGTGGTAGTAACATCATCTACTGTAGTGTCATTGCCGTTATCGTCAGTTGTGTTATTATCCTCTGTGGAATCGCTTGGTACGCCAGTTGAACTCGGTGGCGAACTAGATGTTACGGCAGATGGTTCTGTCTCTTTAGTAGTGGTAGTAACATCATCAACTGTAGTGTCATTGACGTTATCATCAGTCGTGTTACTATCCTCTGAAGAATCGCTTGGTACTGCAGTTGTTATTGGTTGCGAACTAGATGTTACGGCAGATGGTTCTGCCTCTTGGCTAGTAGTAGTAAAATCATCTACTGTAGTATCATTGCCGTTATCATCAGTTGTGTTACTATCCTCTGTGGAATCGCTTGGCACTGCAGTCGAACTTGGTTGCGAACTTGATGTTATGGCAGATGATTCTGTCGGTTGGCTAGTAGTAGTAACATCATCAACTGTAGAGTCATTGCCGTTATCGTCAGTTGTGTTATTATCCTCTGTGGAATCGCTTGGTACGGCAGTTGATCTTGGTTGCGAAGTAGATGTTACGGCAGATGGTTCTGTCTCTTGGCTAGTAGTAGTAACATCATCTACTGTAGTGTCATTGCCGTTATCATCAGTTGTGTTACTATCCTCTGTGGAATCGCTTGGTACGGCAGTTGAACTTGCTTGAGAATTAGTTGTTACGGCAGATGGTTCTGTCTCTTGGCTAGTGGTAGTAACATCATCAACTGTAGTGTCATTGACGTTATCATCAGTCGTGTTACTATCCTCTGAAGAATCGCTTGGTACTGCAGTTGTTATTGGTTGCGAACTAGATGTTACGGCAGATGGTTCTGCCTCTTGGCTAGTAGTAGTAACATCATCTACTGTAGAGTCATTGCCGTTATCGTCAGTTGTGTTATTATCCTCTGTAGAATCGCTTGGTAGGGCAGTTGAACCTGGTTGCGAACTAGATGTTACAGCAGATCGTTCTGACTCTTGACTAGTGGTAGTAACATCATCTACTGTAGTGTCATTGCCGTTATCAGTTGTGTTACTATCCTCTGTGGAATCGCTTGGTACGGCAGTTGAAATTGGTTGCGAACTAGATGTTACGGCAGATGGTTCTGTCTCTTGGCTAGTAGTAGTAACATCATCTACTGTAGTGTCATTGCCGTTATCATCAGTTGTGTTACTATCCTCTGTGGAATCGCTTGGTACTACAGTTGAACTTGGTTGAGAACTAGATGTTACGGCAGATGGTTCTGTCTCTTGGCTAGTAGTAGTAACATCATCTTCTGTAGTGTCATTGCCGTTGTCATCAGTTGAGTTACTATCCTCTGTGGAATCGCTTGGTACTACAGTTGAACTTGGTTGCGAACTAGATGTTATGGTAGATGGTTCTGTCGGTTGGCTAGTAGTAGTTACATCATCAACTGTAGAATCATTGCCGTTATCGTCAGTTGTCTTATTATCCTCTGTGGAATCGCTTGGCACAGCAGTTGAACTTGGTTGCGAACTAGATGTTACAACAGATGGTTCTGTCTCTTGACTAGTAGTAGTAACATCATCTACTGTAGTATCATTGCCGTTATCGTCAGTTGTGTTATTATCCTCTGTAGAATCGCTTGGTAGGGCAGTTGAACCTGGTTGCGAACTAGATGTTACAGCAGATGGTTCTGTCTCTTTACTAGTGGTAGTAACATCATCTACTGTAGTGTCATTGCCGTTATCATCAGTTGTGTTACTATCCTCTGTGGAATCGCTTGGTACGGCACTTGAACTTGCTTCAGAACTAGTTGTTACGGCAGATGGTTCTGTCTCTTGGCTAGTGGTAGTAACATCATCTACTGTAGTGCCATTGACGTTATCATCAGTTGTGTTACTATCCTCTGTGGAATCGCTTGGTACTACAGTTGAACTTGGTTGCGAACTAGATGTTACAGCAGATGGTTCTGTCTCTTGGCTAGTAGTAGTAACATCATTAACTGTAGAGTCATTGCCGTTATCGTCAGTTGTGGTATTATTCTCTGTGGAATCGCTTGGTACTACAGTTGAACTTGGTTGCGAACCAGATGTTACAGCAGATGGTTCTGTCTCTTGGCTAGTAGTAGTAACATCATCTACTGTAGTGTCATTGCCGTTATCATCAGTTGTGTTACTATCCTCTGTGGAATCGCTTGGTACTACAGTTGAACTTGGTTGCGAACCAGATGTTACAGCAGATGGTTCTGTCTCTTGGCTAGTGGTAGTAATATCATCTACTGTAGTGTCATTGCCGTTATCATCAGTTGTGTTACTATCCTCTGTGGAATCGCTTGGTACTGCAGTTGAACTTGGTTGCGAACTAGATGTTACGGCAGATGGTTCTGTCTCTTGGCTAGTAGTAATAACATCATCTACTGTAAAGTCATTGCCGTTATCGTCAGTTGTGTTATTATCCTCTGTAGAATCGCTTGGTAGGGCAGTTGAACCTGATTGCGAACTAGATGTTACAGCAGATGGTTCCGTCTCTTTAGTAGTGGTAGTAACATCATCTACTGTAGTGTCATTGCCGTTATCGTCAGTTGTGTTATTATCCTCTGTGGAATCGCTTGGTACGCCAGTTGAACTCGGTGGCGAACTAGATGTTACGGCAGATGGTTCTGTCTCTTTAGTAGTGGTAGTAACATCATCACCTGTAGTGTCATTGACGTTATCATCAGTCGTGTTACTATCCTCTGAAGAATCGCTTGGTACTGCAGTTGTTATTGGTTGCGAACTAGATGTTACGGCAGATGGTTCTGCCTCTTGGCTAGTAGTAGTAAAATCATCTACTGTAGTATCATTGCCGTTATCATCAGTTGTGTTACTATCCTCTGTGGAATCGCTTGGCACTGCAGTCGAACTTGGTTGCGAACTTGATGTTATGGCAGATGATTCTGTCGGTTGGCTAGTAGTAGTAACATCATCAACTGTAGAGTCATTGCCGTTATCGTCAGTTGTGTTATTATCCTCTGTGGAATCGCTTGGTACGGCAGTTGATCTTGGTTGCGAACTAGATGTTACGGCAGATGGTTCTGTCTCTTGGCTAGTAGTAGTAACATCATCTACTGTAGTGTCATTGCCGTTATCATCAGTTGTGTTACTATCCTCTGTGGAATCGCTTGGTACGGCAGTTGAACTTGCTTGAGAATTAGTTGTTACGGCAGATGGTTCTGTCTCTTGGCTAGTGGTAGTAACATCATCAACTGTAGTGTCATTGACGTTATCATCAGTCGTGTTACTATCCTCTGAAGAATCGCTTGGTACTGCAGTTGTTATTGGTTGCGAACTAGATGTTACGGCAGATGGTTCTGCCTCTTGGCTAGTAGTAGTAACATCATCTACTGTAGAGTCATTGCCGTTATCGTCAGTTGTGTTATTATCCTCTGTAGAATCGCTTGGTAGGGCAGTTGAACCTGGTTGCGAACTAGATGTTACAGCAGATGGTTCTGACTCTTGACTAGTGGTAGTAACATCATCTAGTGTAGTGTCATTGCCGTTATCAGTTGTGTTACTATCCTCTGTGGAATCGCTTGGTACGGCAGTTGAAATTGGTTGCGAACTAGATGTTACGGCAGATGGTTCTGTCTCTTGGCTAGTAGTAGTAACATCATCAACTGTAGAGTCATTGCCGTTATCATCAGTTGTGTTACTATCCTCTGTGGAATCGCTTTGCACTGCAGTTGAACTTGGTTGCGAACTAGATGTTACAGCAGATGGTTCTGTGTCTTGGCTAGTGGTAGTAACATCATCTATTGTAGTGTCATTGCCGTTATCATCAGTTGTATTATTATCCTCTGTGGAATCGCTTGGTACAGCAGTCGAAATTGGTTGCAAACTAGATGTTACAGCAGATGGTTCTGTGTCTTGGCTAGTAGTAGTAACATCATCAACTGTAGAGTCATTGCCGTTATCGTCAGTTGTGGTATTATCCTCTGTGGAATCGCTTGGTACAACAGTTGAACTTGGTTGCGAAGTAGATGTTACAGTAGATGGTTCTGTCTCTTGGCTAGCGGTAGTAACATCATCTACTGTAGTGTCATTGCCGTTATCATCAGTTGTGTTACTATCCTCTGTGGAATCGCTTGGTACTACAGTTGAACTTGGTTGCGAAGTAGATGTTACAGCAGATGGTTCTGTCTCTTGGCTAGTAGTAGTAACATCATCAACTGTAGAGTCATTGCCGTTATCGTCAGTTGTGGTATTATCCTCTGTGGAATCGCTTGGTACAACAGTTGAACTTGGTTGCGAAGTAGATGTTACAGCAGTTGGTTCTGTCTCTTGGCTAGTAGTAGTAACATCATCTACTGTAGTGTCATTGCCGTTATGATCAGTTGTGTTACTATCCTCTGTGGAATCGCTTGGTACTGCAGTTGAACTTGGTTGCGAACTAGATGTTACGGCAGATGGTTCTGTCTCTTGGCTAGTAGTAGTAACATCATCAACTGTAGAGTCATTGCCGTTATCGTCAGTTGTGGTATTATTCTCTGTGGAATCGCTTGGTACTACAGTTGAACTTGGTTGCGAACCAGATGTTACAGCAGATGGTTCTGTCTCTTGGCTAGTAGTAGTAACATCATCTACTGTAGTGTCATTGCCGTTATCATCAGTTGTGTTACTATCCTCTGTGGAATCGCTTGGTACTGCAGTTGAACTTGGTTGCGAACTAGATGTTACGGCAGATGGTTCTGTCTCTTGGCTAGTAGTAGTAACATCATCTACTGTAAAGTCATTGCCGTTATCGTCAGTTGTGTTATTATCCTCTGTAGAATCGCTTGGTAGGGCAGTTGAACCTGATTGCGAACTAGATGTTACAGCAGATGGTTCTGTCTCTTTAGTAGTGGTAGTAACATCATCTACTGTAGTGTTATTGCCGTTATCATCAGTTGAGTTACTATCCTCTGTGGAATCGCTTGGCACTGCAGTTGAACTTGGTTGCGAACTAGATGTTATGGCAGATGGTTCTGTCTCTTGGCTGGTAGTAGTAACATCATCTACTGTAGTGTCATTGCCGTTATCGTCAGTTGTGTTATTATCCTCTGTGGAATCACTTGGTACGGCAGTTGAACTCGGTTGCGAACTAGATGTTACGGCAGATGGTTCTGTCTCTTGGCTAGTAGTAGTAATATCATCTACTGTAGTGGAATTGCCGTTATCGTCAGTTGTGTTATTATCCTCTGTGGAATCGCTTGGTACGCCAGTTGAACTCGGTGGCGAACTAGATGTTACGGCAGATGGTTCTGTCTCTTTAGTAGTGGTAGTAACATCATCAACTGTAGTGTCATTGACGTTATCATCAGTCGTGTTACTATCCTCTGTGGAATCGCTTGGTACTGCAGTTGTTATTGGTTGCGAACTAGATGTTACGGCAGATGGTTCTGCCTCTTGGCTAGTAGTAGTAAAATCATCTACTGTAGTATCATTGCCGTTATCATCAGTTGTGTTACTATCCTCTGTGGAATCGCTTGGCACTGCAGTCGAACTTGGTTGCGAACTTGATGTTATGGCAGATGATTCTGTCGGTTGGCTAGTAGTAGTAACATCATCAACTGTAGAGTCATTGCCGTTATCGTCAGTTGTGTTATTATCCTCTGTGGAATCGCTTGGTACGGCAGTTGAACTTGGTTGCGAAGTAGATGTTACAGCAGTTGGTTCTGTCTCTTGGCTAGTAGTAGTAACATCATCAACTGTAGAGTCATTGCCGTTATCATCAGTTGTGTTACTATCCTCTGTGGAATCGCTTGGCACTGCAGTTGAACTTGGTTGCGAACTAGATGTTACGGCAGATGGTTCTGTCTCTTGGCTAGTAGTAGTAACATCATCTACTGTAGTGTCATTGCCGTTATCATCAGTTGTGTTACTATCCTCTGTGGAATCGCTTGGTACGGCAGTTGAACTTGCTTGAGAATTAGTTGTTACGGCAGATGGTTCTGTCTCTTGGCTAGTGGTAGTAACATCATCAACTGTAGTGTCATTGACGTTATCATCAGTCGTGTTACTATCCTCTGAAGAATCGCTTGGTACTGCAGTTGTTATTGGTTGCGAACTAGATGTTACGGCAGATGGTTCTGCCTCTTGGCTAGTAGTAGTAACATCATCTACTGTAGAGTCATTGCCGTTATCGTCAGTTGTGTTATTATCCTCTGTAGAATCGCTTGGTACTGCAGTTGTTATTGGTTGCGAACTAGATGTTACGGCAGATGGTTCTGCCTCTTGGCTAGTAGTAGTAACATCATCTACTGTAGAGTCATTGCCGTTATCGTCAGTTGTGTTATTATCCTCTGTAGAATCGCTTGGCACTGCAGTTGAACTTGGTTGCGAACTAGATGTTACAGCAGATGGTTCTGTGTCTTGGCTAGTGGTAGTAACATCATCTATTGTAGTGTCATTGCCGTTATCATCAGTTGTATTATTATCCTCTGTGGAATCGCTTGGTACAGCAGTCGAAATTGGTTGCAAACTAGATGTTACAGCAGATGGTTCTGTGTCTTGGCTAGTAGTAGTAACATCATCAACTGTAGAGTCATTGCCGTTATCGTCAGTTGTGGTATTATCCTCTGTGGAATCGCTTGGTACAACAGTTGAACTTGGTTGCGAAGTAGATGTTACAGCAGTTGGTTCTGTCTCTTGGCTAGCGGTAGTAACATCATCTACTGTAGTGTCATTGCCGTTATCATCAGTTGTGTTACTATCCTCTGTGGAATCGCTTGGTACTACAGTTGAACTTGGTTGCGAAGTAGATGTTACAGCAGATGGTTCTGTCTCTTGGCTAGTAGTAGTAACATCATCAACTGTAGAGTCATTGCCGTTATCGTCAGTTGTGGTATTATCCTCTGTGGAATCGCTTGGCACTGCAGTTGATCTTGGTTGCGAACTAGATGTTACAGCAGATGGTTCTGTGTCTTGGCTAGTGGTAGTAACATCATCTATTGTAGTGTCATTGCCGTTATCATCAGTTGTATTATTATCCTCTGCGGAATCGCTTGGTACAGCAGTCGAAATTGGTTGCAAACTAGATGTTACAGCAGATGGTTCTGTGTCTTGGCTAGTAGTAGTAACATCATCAACTGTAGAGTCATTGCCGTTATCGTCAGTTGTGGTATTATCCTCTGTGGAATCGCTTGGTACAACAGTTGAACTTGGTTGCGAAGTAGATGTTACAGCAGTTGGTTCTGTCTCTTGGCTAGTGGTAGTAACATCATCTAGTGTAGTGTCATTGCCGTTATCAGTTGTGTTACTATCTTTTGTGGAATCGCTTGGTACGGCAGTTGAAATTGGTTGCGAACTAGATGTTACGGCAGATGGTTCTGTCTCTTGGCTAGTAGTAGTAACATCATCAACTGTAGAGTCATTGCCGTTATCATCAGTTGTGTTACTATCCTCTGTGGAATCGCTTGGTACTGCAGTTGAACTTGGTTGCGAACTAGATGTTACAGCAGATGGTTCTGTGTCTTGGCTAGTGGTAGTAACATCATCTATTGTAGTGTCATTGCCGTTATCATCAGTTGTATGATTATCCTCTGTGGAATCGCTTGGTACAGCAGTCGAAATTGGTTGCAAACTAGATGTTACAGCAGATGGTTCTGTGTCTTGGCTAGTAGTAGTAACATCATCAACTGTAGAGTCATTGCCGTTATCGTCAGTTGTGGTATTATCCTCTGTGGAATCGCTTGGTACAACAGTTGAACTTGGTTGCGAAGTAGATGTTACAGCAGTTGGTTCTGTCTCTTGGCTAGCGGTAGTAACATCATCTACTGTAGTGTCATTGCCGTTATCATCAGTTGTGTTACTATCCTCTGTGGAATCGCTTGGTACTACAGTTGAACTTGGTTGCGAAGTAGATGTTACAGCAGATGGTTCTGTCTCTTGGCTAGTAGTAGTAACATCATCAACTGTAGAGTCATTGCCGTTATCGTCAGTTGTGGTATTATCCTCTGTGGAATCGCTTGGTACAACAGTTGAACTTGGTTGCGAAGTAGATGTTACAGCAGATGGTTCTGTCTCTTGGCTAGTGGTAGTAACATCATCTACTGTAATGTCATTGCCGTTATCATCAGTTGTGTTACTATCCTCTGTGGAATCGCTTGGTACTACAGTTGAACTTGGTTGCGAAGTAGATGTTACAGCAGATGGTTCTGTCTCTTGGCTAGTAGTAGTAACATCATCAACTGTAGAGTCATTGCCGTTATCGTCAGTTGTGGTATTATCCCCTGTGGAATCGCTTGGTACAACAGTTGAACTTGGTTGCGAAGTAGATGTTACAGCAGTTGGTTCTGTCTCTTGGCTAGTAGTAGTAACATCATCAACTGTAGAGTCATTGCCGTTATCATCAGTTGTGTTACTATCCTCTGTGGAATCGCTTGGCACTGCAGTTGAACTTGGTTGCGAACTAGATGTTATGGCAGATGATTCTGTCGGTTTGCTAGTAGTAGTAACATCATCAACTGTAGAGTCATTGCCGTTATCATCAGTTGTGTTACTATCCTCTGTGGAATCGCTTGGTACTACAGTTGAACTTGGTTGCGAAGTAGATGTTACAGCAGATGGTTCTGTCTCTTGGCTAGCGGTAGTATCATCATCGACTGTAGTGTCATTGCCGTTATCATCAGTTGTGTTACTATGCTCTGTGGTATCGCTTGGTACTACAGTTGAACTTGGTTGCGAAGTAGATGTTACAGCAGATGGTTCTGTCTCTTGGCTAGCGGTAGTAACATCATCGACTGTAGTGTCATTGCCGTTATCATCAGTTGTGTTACTATCCTCTGTGGAATCGCTTGGTACTACAGTTGAACTTGGTTGCGAAGTAGATGTTACAGCAGATGGTTCTGTCTCTTGGCTAGTGGTAGTAACATCATCTACTGTAATGTCATTGCCGTTATCATCAGTTGTGTTACTATGCTCTGTGGTATCGCTTGGTACTACAGTTGAACTTGGTTGCGAAGTAGATGTTACAGCAGATGGTTCTGTCTCTTGGCTAGCGGTAGTAACATCATCGACTGTAGTGTCATTGCCGTTATCAACAGTTGTGTTACTATCCTCTGTGGAGTCGCTTGGTACTACAGTTGAACTTGGTTGCGAAGTAGATGTTACAGCAGATGGTTCTGTCTCTTGGCTAGCGGTAGTATCATCATCGACTGTAGTGTCATTGCCGTTATCATCAGTTGTGTTACTATGCTCTGTGGTATCGCTTGGTACTACAGTTGAACTTGGTTGCGAAGTAGATGTTACAGCAGATGGTTCTGTCTCTTGGCTAGTAGTAGTAACATCATCAACTGTAGAGTCATTGCCGTTATCGTCAGTTGTGTTATTATCCTCTGTGGAATTGCTTGGTACAACAGTTGAACTTGGTTGCGAACTAGATGTTACAGCAGATGGTTCTGTGTCTTGACTGGTTGTAGTAACATCATCTATTGTAGGGTCATTGCCTTTATCATCAGTTGTATTATTATCCTCTGTGGAATCGCTTGGTACGCCAGTCGAAATTGGTTGCAAACTAGATGTTACAGCAGATGGTTCTGTGTCTTGGCTAGCGGTAGTAACATCATCTACTGTAATGTCATTGCCGTTATCATCAGTTGTGTTACTATCCTCTGTGGAATCGCTTGGTACAACAGTTGAACTTGGTTGCGAAGTAGATGTTACAGCAGATGGTTCTGTCTCTTGGCTAGCGGTAGTAACATCATCTACTGTAGTGTCATTGCCGTTATCATCAGTTGTGTTACTATCCTCTGTGGAATCGCTTGGTACTACAGTTGAACTTGGTTGCGAAGTAGATGTTACAGCAGATGGTTCTGTCTCTTGGCTAGTAGTAGTAACATCATCAACTGTAGAGTCATTGCCGTTATCGTCAGTTGTGGTATTATCCTCTGTGGAATCGCTTGGCACTGCAGTTGATCTTGGTTGCGAACTAGATGTTACAGCAGATGGTTCTGTGTCTTGGCTAGTGGTAGTAACATCATCTATTGTAGTGTCATTGCCGTTATCATCAGTTGTATTATTATCCTCTGTGGAATCGCTTGGTACAGCAGTCGAAATTGGTTGCAAACTAGATGTTACAGCAGATGGTTCTGTGTCTTGGCTAGTAGTAGTAACATCATCAACTGTAGAGTCATTGCCGTTATCGTCAGTTGTGGTATTATCCTCTGTGGAATGGCTTGGTACAACAGTTGAACTTGGTTGCGAAGTAGATGTTACAGCAGTTGGTTCTGTCTCTTGGCTAGTGGTAGTAACATCATCTAGTGTAGTGTCATTGCCGTTATCAGTTGTGTTACTATCTTTTGTGGAATCGCTTGGTACGGCAGTTGAAATTGGTTGCGAGCTAGATGTTACGGCAGATGGTTCTGTCTCTTGGCTAGTAGTAGTAACATCATCAACTGTAGAGTCATTGCCGTTAGCATCAGTTGTGTTACTATCCTCTGTGGAATCGCTTGGCACTGCAGTTGAACTTGGTTGCGAACTAGATGTTACAGCAGATGGTTCTGTGTCTTGGCTAGTGGTAGTAACATCATCTATTGTAGTGTCATTGCCGTTATCATCAGTTGTATGATTATCCTCTGTGGAATCGCTTGGTACAGCAGTCGAAATTGGTTGCAAACTAGATGTTACAGCAGATGGTTCTGTGTCTTGGCTAGTAGTAGTAACATCATCAACTGTAGAGTCATTGCCGTTATCGTCAGTTGTGGTATTATCCTCTGTGGAATCGCTTGGTACAACAGTTGAACTTGGTTGCGAAGTAGATGTTACAGCAGTTGGTTCTGTCTCTTGGCTAGCGGTAGTAACATCATCTACTGTAGTGTCATTGCCGTTATCATCAGTTGTGTTACTATCCTCTGTGGAATCGCTTGGTACTACAGTTGAACTTGGTTGCGAAGTAGATGTTACAGCAGATGGTTCTGTCTCTTGGCTAGTAGTAGTAACATCATCAACTGTAGAGTCATTGCCGTTATCGTCAGTTGTGGTATTATCCTCTGTGGAATCGCTTGGTACAACAGTTGAACTTGGTTGCGAAGTAGATGTTACAGCAGTTGGTTCTGTCTCTTGGCTAGTGGTAGTAACATCATCTACTGTAATGTCATTGCCGTTATCATCAGTTGTGTTACTATCCTCTGTGGTATCGCTTGGTACTACAGTTGAACTTGGTTGCGAAGTAGATGTTACAGCAGATGGTTCTGTCTCTTGGCTAGTAGTAGTAACATCATCAACTGTAGAGTCATTGCCGTTATCGTCAGTTGTGGTATTATCCCCTGTGGAATCGCTTGGTACAACAGTTGAACTTGGTTGCGAAGTAGATGTTACAGCAGTTGGTTCTGTCTCTTGGCTAGTAGTAGTAACATCATCAACTGTAGAGTCATTGCCGTTATCATCAGTTGTGTTACTATCCTCTGTGGAATCGCTTGGCACTGCAGTTGAACTTGGTTGCGAACTAGATGTTATGGCAGATGATTCTGTCGGTTTGCTAGTAGTAGTAACATCATCAACTGTAGAGTCATTGCCGTTATCATCAGTTGTGTTACTATCCTCTGTGGAATCGCTTGGTACTACAGTTGAACTTGGTTGCGAAGTAGATGTTACAGCAGATGGTTCTGTCTCTTGGCTAGCGGTAGTATCATCATCGACTGTAGTGTCATTGCCGTTATCATCAGTTGTGTTACTATGCTCTGTGGTATCGCTTGGTACTACAGTTGAACTTGGTTGCGAAGTAGATGTTACAGCAGATGGTTCTGTCTCTTGGCTAGCGGTAGTAACATAATCGACTGTAGTGTCATTGCCGTTATCATCAGTTGTGTTACTATCCTCTGTGGAATCGCTTGGTACTACAGTTGAACTTGGTTGCGAAGTAGATGTTACAGCAGATGGTTCTGTCTCTTGGCTAGTGGTAGTAACATCATCTACTGTAATGTCATTGCCGTTATCATCAGTTGTGTTACTATGCTCTGTGGTATCGCTTGGTACTACAGTTGAACTTGGTTGCGAAGTAGATGTTACAGCAGATGGTTCTGTCTCTTGGCTAGCGGTAGTAACATCATCGACTGTAGTGTCATTGCCGTTATCAACAGTTCTGTTACTATCCTCTGTGGAGTCGCTTGGTACTACAGTTGAACTTGGTTGCGAAGTAGATGTTACAGCAGATGGTTCTGTCTCTTGGCTAGCGGTAGTATCATCATCGACTGTAGTGTCATTGCCGTTATCATCAGTTGTGTTACTATGCTCTGTGGTATCGCTTGGTACTACAGTTGAACTTGGTTGCGAAGTAGATGTTACAGCAGATGGTTCTGTCTCTTGGCTAGTAGTAGTAACATCATCAACTGTAGAGTCATTGCCGTTATCGTCAGTTGTGTTATTATCCTCTGTGGAATTGCTTGGTACAACAGTTGAACTTGGTTGCGAACTAGATGTTACAGCAGATGGTTCTGTGTCTTGACTGGTTGTAGTAACATCATCTATTGTAGGGTCATTGCCTTTATCATCAGTTGTATTATTATCCTCTGTGGAATCGCTTGGTACGCCAGTCGAAATTGGTTGCAAACTAGATGTTACAGCAGATGGTTCTGTGTCTTGGCTAGCGGTAGTAACATCATCTACTGTAATGTCATTGCCGTTATCATCAGTTGTGTTACTCTCCTCTGTGGAATCGCTTGGTACTACAGTTGAACTTGGTTGCGAAGTAGATGTTACAGCAGATGGTTCTGTCTCTTGGCTAGTAGTAGTAACATCATCAACTGTAGAGTCATTGCCGTTACCGTCAGTTGTGGTATTATCCTCTGTGGAATCGCTTGGTACAACAGTTGAACTTGGTTGCGAAGTAGATGTTACAGCAGTTGGTTCTGTCTCTTGGCTAGTAGTAGTAACATCATCAACTGTAGAGTCATTGCCGTTATCATCAGTTGTGTTACTATCCTCTGTGGAATCGCTTGGCACTGCAGTTGAACTTGGTTGCGAACTAGATGTTATGGCAGATGATTCTGTCGGTTGGCTAGTAGTAGTAACATCATCAACTGTAGAGTCATTGCCGTTATCATCAGTTGTGTTACTATCCTCTGTGGAATCGCTTGGTACTACAGTTGAACTTGGTTGCGAAGTAGATGTTACAGCAGATGGTTCTGTCTCTTGGCTAGCGGTAGTATCATCATCGACTGTAGTGTCATTGCCGTTATCATCAGTTGTGTTACTATGCTCTGTGGTATCGCTTGGTACTACAGTTGAACTTGGTTGCGAAGTAGATGTTACAGCAGATGGTTCTGTCTCTTGGCTAGCGGTAGTAACATCATCGACTGTAGTGTCATTGCCGTTATCATCAGTTGTGTTACTATCCTCTGTGGAATCGCTTGGTACTACAGTTGAACTTGGTTGCGAAGTAGATGTTACAGCAGATGGTTCTGTCTCTTGGCTAGTGATAGTAACATCATCTACTGTAATGTCATTGCCGTTATCATCAGTTGTGTTACTATGCTCTGTGGTATCGCTTGGTACTACAGTTGAACTTGGTTGCGAAGTAGATGTTACAGCAGATGGTTCTGTCTCTTGGCTAGCGGTAGTAACATCATCGACTGTAGTGTCATTGCCGTTATCATCAGTTCTGTTACTATCCTCTGTGGAGTCGCTTGGTACTACAGTTGAACTTGGTTGCGAAGTAGATGTTACAGCAGATGGTTCTGTCTCTTGGCTAGTGGTAGTAACATCATCTACTGTAATGTCATTGCCGTTATCATCAGTTGTGTTACTATGCTCTGTGGTATCGCTTGGTACTACAGTTGAACTTGGTTGCGAAGTAGATGTTACAGCAGATGGTTCTGTCTCTTGGCTAGTAGTAGTAACATCATCAACTGTAGAGTCATTGCCGTTATCGTCAGCTGTGTTATTATCCTCTGTGGAATTGCTTGGTACAACAGTTGAACTTGGTTGCGAACTAGATGTTACAGCAGATGGTTCTGTGTCTTGACTGGTGGTAGTAACATCATTTATTGTAGGGTCATTGCCTTTATCATCAGTTGTATTATTATCCTCTGTGGAATCGCTTGGTACGCCAGTCGAAATTGGTTGCAAACTAGATGTTACAGCAGATGGTTCTGTGTCTTGGCTAGCGGTAGTAACATCATCTACTGTAATGTCATTGCCGTTATCATCAGTTGTGTTACTATCCTCTGTGGAATCGCTTGGTACTACAGTTGAACTTGGTTGCGAAGTAGATGTTACAGCAGATGGTTCTGTCTCTTGGCTAGCGGTAGTATCATCATCGACTGTAGTGTCATTGCCGTTATCATCAGTTGTGTTACTATGCTCTGTGGTATCGCTTGGTACTACAGTTGAACTTGGTTGTGAAGTAGATGTTACAGCAGATGGTTCTGTCTCTTGGCTAGCGGTAGTATCATCATCGACTGTAGTGTCATTGCCGTTATCATCAGTTGTGTTACTATGCTCTGTGGAATCGCTTGGTACTACAGTTGAACTTGGTTGCGAAGTAGATGTTACAGCAGATGGTTCTGTCTCTTGGCTAGTAGTAGTAACATCATCAACTGTAGAGTCACTGCCGTTATCGTCAGTTGTGGTATTATCCTCTGTGGAATCGCTTGGTACAACAGTTGAAATTGGTTGCGAACTAGATGTTACAGCAGATGGTTCTGTCTCTTGGCTACTGGTAGTAACATCATTTATTGTAGTGTCATTGCCGTTATCATCAGTTGTATTATTATCCTCTGTGGAATCGCTTGGTACGGCAGTCGAAATTGGTTGCAAACTAGATGTTACAGCAGATGGTTCTGTGTCTTGGCTAGCGGTAGTAACATCATCTACTGTAGTGTCATTGCCGTTATCATCAGTTGTGTTACTATCCTCTGTGGAATCGCTTGGTACTACAGTTGAACTTCGTTGCGAAGTAGATGTTACGGCAGATGGGTCTGTTTCTTGGCTAGTAGTAGTAACACCATCTACTGTAGTGTCATTGCCGTTATTGTCAGTTGTGTTATTATCCTCTGTGGAATCGCTTGGTACTGCAGTTGAACTTGTTTGCGAACTAGATGTTACAGCAGAGGGTTCTGTCTCTTGGCTAGTGGTAGTAACATTATCTACTGTAGTGTCATTGCCGTTATCATCAGTTGTATTATTATCCTCTGTGGAATCGCTTGGTACGGCAGTTGAACTTGCTTGAGAACTATTTGTTACGGCAGATAATTCTGTCTCTTGGCTAGTGGTAGTAACATCACCTACTGTAGTTTCATTGCCGTTATCATCAGTTGTGTTACTATCCTCTGTGGAATCGCTTGGCACTGCAGTTGAACTTGGTTGCGAACTAGATGTTACAGCAGATGGTTCTGTGTCTTGGCTAGTAGTAATAACATCATCAACTGTAGAGTCATTGCCGTTATCGTCAGTTGTGGTATTATCCTCTGTGAAATCGCTTGGTACAACAGTTGAACTTGGTTGCGAAGTAGATGTTACAGCAGTTGGTTCTGTCTCTTGGCTAGCGGTAGTAACATCATCTACTGTAGTGTCATTGCCGTTATCATCAGTTGTGTTACTATCCTCTGTGGAATCGCTTGGTACTACAGTTGAACTTGGTTGCGAAGTAGATGTTACAGCAGATGGTTCTGTCTCTTGGCTAGTGGTAGTAACATCATCTACTGTAATGTCATTGCCGTTATCATCAGTTGTGTTACTATCCTCTGTGGTATCGCTTGGTACTACAGTTGAACTTGGTTGCGAAGTAGATGTTACAGCAGATGGTTCTGTCTCTTGGCTAGTAGTAGTAACATCATCAACTGTAGAGTCATTGCCGTTATCGTCAGTTGTGGTATTATCCTCTGTGGAATCGCTTGGTACAACAGTTAAACTTGGTTGCGAAGTAGATGTTACAGCAGATGGTTCTGTCTCTTGGCTAGTAGTAGTAACATCATCAACTGTAGAGTCATTGCCGTTATCGTCAGTTGTGGTATTATCCTCTGTGGAATCGCTTGGTACAACAGTTGAACTTGGTTGCGAAGTAGATGTTACAGCAGATGGTTCTGTCTCTTGGCTAGTAGTAGTAACATCATCAACTGTAGAGTCATTGCCGTTATCATCAGTTGTGTTACTATCCTCTGTGGAATCGCTTGGCACTGCAGTTGAACTTGGTTGCGAACTAGATGTTATGGCAGATGATTCTGTCGGTTGGCTAGTAGTAGTAACATCATCAACTGTAGAGTCATTGCCGTTATCGTCAGTTGTGTTATTATCCTCTGTGGAATTGCTTGGTACAACAGTTGAACTTGGTTGCGAACTAGATGTTACAGCAGATGGTTCTGTGTCTTGGCTGGTGGTAGTAACATCATCTACTGTAATGTCATTGCCGTTATCATCAGTTGTGTTACTATCCTCTGTGGAATCGCTTGGTACTACAGTTGAACTTGGTTGCGAAGTAGATGTTACAGCAGATGGTTCTGTCTCTTGGCTAGCGGTAGTAACATCATCGACTGTAGTGTCATTGCCGTTATCATCAGTTGTGTTACTATGCTCTGTGGTATCGCTTGGTACTACAGTTGAACTTGGTTGCGAAGTAGATGTTACAGCAGATGGTTCTGTCTCTTGGCTAGCGGTAGTAACATCATCGACTGTAGTGTCATTGCCGTTATCATCAGTTGTGTTACTATCCTCTGTGGAATCGCTTGGTACTACAGTTGAACTTGGTTGCGAAGTAGATGTTACAGCAGATGGTTCTGTCTCTTGGCTAGCGGTAGTAACATCATGGACTGTAGTGTCATTGCCGTTATCATCAGTTCTGTTACTATCCTCTGTGGAATCGCTTGGTACTACAGTTGAACTTGGTTGCGAAGTAGATGTTACAGCAGATGGTTCTGTCTCTTGGCTAGTGGTAGTAACATCATCTACTGTAATGTCATTGCCGTTATCATCAGTTGTGTTACTATGCTCTGTGGTATCGCTTGGTACTACAGTTGAACTTGGTTGCGAAGTAGATGTTACAGCAGATGGTTCTGTCTCTTGGCTAGTAGTAGTAACATCATCAACTGTAGAGTCATTGCCGTTATCGTCAGTTGTGTTATTATCCTCTGTGGAATTGCTTGGTACAACAGTTGAACTTGGTTGCGAACTAGATGTTACAGCAGATGGTTCTGTGTCTTGACTGGTGGTAGTAACATCATCTATTGCAGGGTCATTGCCTTTATCATCAGTTGTATTATTATCCTCTGTGGAATCGCTTGGTACGCCAGTCGAAATTGGTTGCAAACTAGATGTTACAGCAGATGGTTCTGTGTCTTGGCTAGCGGTAGTAACATCATCTACTGTAATGTCATTGCCGTTATCATCAGTTGTGTTACTATCCTCTGTGGAATCGCTTGGTACTACAGTTGAACTTGGTTGCGAAGTAGATGTTACAGCAGATGGTTCTGTCTCTTGGCTAGTAGTAGTAACATCATCAACTGTAGAGTCATTGCCGTTACCGTCAGTTGTGGTATTATCCTCTGTGGAATCGCTTGGTACAACAGTTGAACTTGGTTGCGAAGTAAATGTTACAGCAGATGGTTCTGTCTCTTGGCTAGCGGTAGTAACATCATCGACTGTAGTGTCATTGCCGTTATCATCAGTTGTGTTACTATCCTCTGTGGAATCGCTTGGTACTACAGTTGAACTTGATTGCGAAGTAGATGTTACAGCAGATGGTTCTGTCTCTTGGCTAGTAGTAGTAACATCATCAACTGTAGAGTCACTGCCGTTATCGTCAGTTGTGGTATTATCCTCTGTGGAATCGCTTGGTACAACAGTTGAAATTGGTTGCGAACTAGATGTTACAGCAGATGGTTCTGTCTCTTGGCTACTGGTAGTAACATCATTTATTGTAGTGTCATTGCCGTTATCATCAGTTGTATTATTATCCTCTGTGGAATCGCTTGGTACGGCAGTCGAAATTGGTTGCAAACTAGATGTTACAGCAGATGGTTCTGTGTCTTGGCTAGCGGTAGTAACATCATCTACTGTAGTGTCATTGCCGTTATCATCAGTTGTGTTACTATCCTCTGTGGAATCGCTTGGTACTACAGTTGAACTTCGTTGCGAAGTAGATGTTACGGCAGATGGGTCTGTCTCTTGGCTAGTAGTAGTAACACCATCTACTGTACGGTCATTGCCGTTATTGTCAGTTGTGTTAGTATCCTCTGTGGAATCGCTTGGTACTGCAGTTGAACTTGTTTGCGAACTAGATGTTACAGCAGATGGTTCTGTCTCTTGGCTAGTGGTAGTAACATTATCTACTGTAGTGTCATTGCCGTTATCATCAGTTGTATTATTATCCTCTGTGGAATCGCTTGGTACGGCAGTTGAACTTGCTTGAGAACTATTTGTTGCGGCAGATGGTTCTGTCTCTTGGCTAGTTGTAGTAACATCATCTACTGTAGTTTCATTGCCGTTATCATCAGTTGTGTTACTATCCTCTGTGGAATCGCTTGGTACTGCAGTTGAACTTGGTTGCGAACTAGATGTTACGGTAGATGGTTCTGTCGCTTGGCTAGTAGTAGTAACATCATCAACTGTATTGTCATTGCCGTTATCGTCAGTTGTGTTATTATCCTCTGTGGAATCGCTTGGTACGGCAGTTGAACTTCGTTGCGAACTAGATGTTACGGCAGATGGGTCTGTCTCTTGGTTAGTAGTAGTAACACCATCTACTGTAGTGTCATTGCCGTTATTGTCAGTTGTGTTATTATCCTCTGTGGAATCGCTTGGTACTGCAGTTGAACTTGTTTGCGAACTAGACGTTACAGCAGATGATTCTGTCTCTTGGCTAGTGGTAGTAACATCATCTACTGTAGTGTCATTGCCGTTATCATCAGTTGTATTATTATCCTCTGTGGAATCGCTTGGTACGGCAGTTGAACTTGCATGAGAACTATTTGTTACGGCAGATGGTTCTGTCTCTTGGCTAGTGGTAGTAACATCATCTACTGTAGTTTCATTGCCGTTATCATCAGTTGTGTTACTATCCTCTGTGGAATCGCTTGGTACTGCAGTTGAACTTGGTTGCGAGCTAGATGTTACGGGAGATGGTTCTGTCTCTTGTCTAGTAGTAGTAACATCATCAACTGTATTGTCCTTGCCGTTATCGTCAGTTGTGTTATTATCCTCTGTGGAATCGCTTGGTACGGCAGTTGAACTTCGTTGCGAACTAGACGTTACGGCAGATGGGTCTGTCTCTTGGCTAGTAGTAGTAACACCATCTACTGTAGTGTCATTGCCGTTATCATCAGTTGTATTATTATCCTCAGTGGAATCGCTTGGTACGGCAGTTGAACTTGCTTGAGAACTATTTGTTACGGCAGATGGTTCTGTCTCTTGGCTAGTGCTAGTAACATCATCTACTGTAGTTTCATTGCCGTTATCATCAGTTGTGTTACTATCCTCTGTGGAATCGCTTGGTACTGCAGTTGAACTTGGTTGCGAACTAGATGTTACGGGAGATGGTTCTGTCTCTTGGCTAGTAGTAGTAACATCATCTACTGTAGTGATATTGCCGTTATCGTCAGTTGTGTTATTATCCTCTGTGAAATCGCTTGGTACAGCAGTTGAACTTGGGTGCGAAGTAGATGTTACAGCAGATGGTTCTGTCTCTTGGCTGGTAGTAGTAACATCATCTACTGTAGTGTCATTGCCGTTATCGTCAGTTGTGTTATTATGTTTTGTGGAATCGCTTGGTACGGCAGTTGAACTTGGTTGCGAACTAGATGTTACGGCAGATGGTTCTGTCTCTTGGCTAGTAGTAGTAACATCATCTACTGTAGTGTCATTGCCGTTATCATCAGTTGTGTTACTATCTTCTGTGGAATCGCTTGGTACGGCAGTTGAACTTGTTTGCGAACTAGATGTTACAGCAGATGGTTCTGTCTCTTGGCTAGTGGTAGTAACATCATCTACTGTAGTGTCATTGCCGTTATCATCAGTTGTATTATTATCCTCTGTGGAATCGCTTGGTACGGCAGTTGAACTTGCTTGAGAACTAGTTGTTACGGCAGATGGTTCTGTCTCTTGGCTAGTAGTGGTAACATCATCTACTGTAGAGTCATTGCCGTTATCGTCAGTTGTGTTATAAGCCTCTGTGGAATCACTTGGTTCAGCAGTTGAACTTGGGTGCGAACTAGATGTTACGGCAGATGGTTCTGTCTCTTGGCTAGTAGTAGTAACATCATCTACTGTAGTGTCATTGCCGTTATCGTTAGTTGTGTTATTATCTTCTGTGGAATCGCTTGGTACGGCAGTTGATCTTGGTTGCGAACTAGATGTTACGGCAGATGGTTCTGTCTCTTGGCTAGTAGTGGTAACATCATCTACTGTAGAGTCATTGCCGTTATCGTCAGTTGTGTTATTTTCCTTTGTGGAATCGCTTGGTTCAGCAGTTGAACTTGGGTGCGAACTAGATGTTACGGCAGATGGTTCTGTCTCTTGGCTAGTAGTAGTAACATCATCTACTGTAGTGTCATTGCCCTTATCATCAGTTGTGTTACTATCCTCTGTGGAATCGCTTGGTACTGCAGTTGAACTTGGTTGCGAACTAGATGTTACGGTAGATGGTTCTGTCTCTTGGCTAGTAGTAGTAACATCATCTACTGTAGTGTTATTGCCGTTATGGTCAGTTGTGTCATTATCCTCTGTGGAATCGCTTGGTACAGCAGTTGAAGTTGGGTGCGAAGTAGATGTTACGGCAGATGGTTCTGTCTCTTGGCTATTAGTAGTAACATCATCTACTGTAGTGTCATTGCCGTTATCATCAGTTGTGTTACTATCCTCTGTGAAATCGCTTGGTACTGCAGTTGAACTTGGTTGCGAACTAGATGTTATGGCAGATGATTCTGTCGGTTGGCTAGTAGTAGTAACATCATCAACTGTAGAGTCATTGCCGTTATCGTCAGTTGTGTTATTATCCTCTGTGGAATTGCTTGGTACAACAGTTGAACTTGGTTGCAAACTAGATGTTACAGCAGATGATTCTGTGTCTTGGCTAGTGGTAGTAACATCATTTATTGTAGTTTCATTGCCGGTATCATCAGTTGTATTATTATCCTCTGTGGAATCGCTTGGTACGGCAGTCGAAATTGGTTGCAAACTAGATGTTACGGCAGATGGTTCTGTCTCTCGGCTAGTGGTAGTAACATCATCTACTGTACTGTCATTGCCGTTATCGTTAGTTGTGTTATTATCTTCTGTGGAATCGCTTGGTACGGCAGTTGATCTTGGTTGCGAACTAGATGTTACGGCAGATGGTTCTGTCTCTTGGCTAGTAGTAGTAACATTATCTACTGTAGTGTCATTGCCGTTATCATCAGTTGTGTTACTATCCTCTGTGGAATCGCTTGGTACTACAGTTGAACTTGGTTGCGAACTAGATGTTACAGCAGATGGTTCTGTCTCTTCGCTAGTAGTAGTAACATCATCGACTGTAGAGTCATTGCCGTTATCGTCAGTTGTGTTATTATCCTCTGTGGAATCGTTTGGTACGGCAGTTGAACTTGGTTGCGAACTAGATGTTACGGCAGATGGTTCTGTCTCTTGGCTAGTAGTAGTAACATCATCTACTGTAGTGTCATTGCCCTTATCATCAGTTGTGTTACTATCCTCTGTGGAATCGCTTGGTAATGAAGTTGAGCTTGTTTTCGAACTAGATGTTATGGCAGATGGTTCTGTCGGTTGGGTAGAAGTAGTAACATCATCTACTGTAGTGTCATTGCCGTTATCATAAGTTGTATTATTATCCTCTGTGGAATCGCTTGGTACGGCAGTTGAACTTGGTTGTGAACTAGATGTTACGGGAGATGGTTTTGTCTCTTGGCTTGTATTAGTAACACCATCTACTGTGGTGTCATTGGTGTTATCATCAGTTGTGTTACTATCCTCTGTGGACTCGCTTGCTACTGCCGTTGAACTTGGTTGCGAACTAAATGTTATAGCAGATGGTTCGGTCGGTTGGCTAGTAGTAGTAACATCATCAACGGTAAAGTCATTGCCGTTATCGTCGGTTGTGTTGTTATCTTCTGTGGAATCGCTTGGTACGGCTGTTGAACTTGGTTGCGAACTAGATGTTACGGCTGATGGTCCTGTCTCTTGGCTAGTGGTAGTAACATCATCTACTGTAGTGTCATTGCCGTTGTCATCAGTTGTATTATTATCCTCTGTTGAATCGCTTGGTACGGCAGTTGAACTTGCTTGAGAACTAGTTGTTCCGGCAGATGATGCTGTCGGTTGGCTAGTAGTAATAACATCATTTACTGTAGTGTCATTGTCGTTATCGTCAGTTGTGTTATTATCCTCTGTGGAATCGCTTGGTACTGCAGTTGAACTTGGTTGCGAACTAGATGTTATGGCAGATGGTTCTGTCGGTTGGCTAGTAGTAGTAACATCATAAACTGTAGAGTCATTGTCTTTATCGTCAGTTGTATTATTATCCTCTGTGGAATCGCTTGGTACGGCAGTTGAACTTGCTTGAGAACTAGTTGTTCCGGCGGATGATTCTGCCTGTTGGCTAGTAGTAGTAACATCATCTACTGTAGTGTCATTGCCGTTATCGTCAGTTGTGTTATTATCCTCTGTGGAATCGCTTGGTACTGCAGTTGAACTTGGTTGTGAACTAGATGTTACGGCAGATGGTTCTGTCTCTTGGCTAGTGGTAGTAACATCAGCTACTGTAGTGTCATTGCCGTTATCGTCGGTTGTATTATTATTCTCTGTTGAATCGCTTGGTACGGCAGTTGAACTTGCTTGAGAACTGGTTGTTCCGGCGGATGATTCTGCCTGTTGGCTAGTAGTATTAACATCATATACTGTAGTGTCATTGCCGTTACCATCAGTTGTATTACTATCCTCTGTGGAACCGCTTGGTACTGCAGTTGAACTTGGTTGCGAACTAGATGTTACGGCAGATGGTTCTGTCTCTTGGCTAGTGGTAGTAACATGATCTACTGTAGTGTCATTGCCGTTATCATCAGTTGTATTATTATCCTCTGTGAAATCGCTTGGTACGGCAGTTGAACTTGCTTGAGAACTAGTTGTTCCGGCGGATGGTTCTGTCTCTTTACTAGTAGTGGTAATATCATCTACTGTAGTGTCATTGCCGTTATCGTCAGTTGTGTAACTATCCTCTGTGGAATCGCTTGGTACTGCAGTTGAACTTTGTTGCGAACTAGATGGTATGGCAGATGGTTCTGTCGGTTGGCTAGTAGTAGTAACATCATCTACTGTAGTGTTATTGCCGTTATCATCAGTTGTATTTTTATCCTCGGGAGAATCGCTTTGTACGGCAGTTGAAATTGCTTGAGAACTAGTGGTTACGGCAGATGGTTCTGTCTGTTGGCTAGTAGCAGTTACATCATTTACTGTAGTGTCATTACTTTTATTATTAGTTGTAGTATTATCCTCTGTGGAATTACTTGGTACTGCTGTTGTTCTTGCTTCAGTGGAAGATTCTAGCGCTTCGCTGTTAGTAGTAAAGTCGGTAGTGTGATTGGCAATATTCTCAGTTATACGTGTATCGTCTGTAGATTCACTTGCAACAGTAGTTGAACTCAATTGTGAATTGGTAGTTGGAGTGGATGATTCTGAGTCTACGCTGGTAGTTACAGTAGACGATTTTAACTGTTGGTTAGAAGTAGTAACATCATCTATGCTAGAGTTATCACTCCTATTACTGTTTGTTGTCTTGTCGTCTGCAGAATTTGTTACAACGGGATTTGAACTTGATTGGGAACTAGTGGTTATGGTAAACGATTGTGATTGACTAGGATTAGTATCTTCGTCAGTTGTATTTATTACTGTCACAGGTGATGTTGTAACCTGCGTAGGTAAAGTTGTTGAAGATATAGGATTTGTTGATATAATTGGAAAAGTACTACTTGTGTTCTCCTTCGATATTTCTTCGGTTGTTTCTTGATTAGGATTAGTAGTTGTGACATTAATATATTGGTTTGTAGTAGGAGAAAAAGATGAAGTTGAGGCAGTTTGTAAGTGAGTGGTTAATAGGTTTTCTTCGGATGTTGTTGTTGGTGACTGTGTATTACTTGTGGTATTAGTTACAAATTGTGTTGTTATCGTTGGTGAAGTAGTAGTCTCAGTTGCAACTGTTGAGTGTGTAGAAACTTCTGAGGTTAAAGTCGATAAAGTTGTTATATGGTGTGTTGGATTAGTCGTTAATGTTGTTTTTACAGTACTACTTCGGGTTGTTCTTTTGGGTGCATCAGGGCGAAACTCATCACATTCGAGATCTGAATCATCATAGCAAAAAAGTTCTTCCGGGCATGGTTGCGGCTCACCAATAATGTACGTTCCAGATAAATCTTCGTTAACAACGCACTGGTAAAAGAACGTCTCGTTATAGCAAATAAATTCTCTGTTGTTACAATTGAATATTTCCGAACATTGGGAAGGAACCTAAAAGAGATAAATGAGAAAAGATTAATGGGTTACCAGAATAAAATTACCTAATAAGCTTAAGAAAATTTAGTTTAACATATTTGATTTAATATGAGTTTAGTAACTAATTTAGGTATCCACAAGGAAAAATTCCTGTAGCTGGCCGTATACCACGTATAACAAAAAGAGGTTAATCTTTGTAAATGGGTATATTTATTTAAAAAACCCTTAAAAGGGCCACATCAATAAAACAAACGTTTTCGGACCACACAGTCCATCATCAGGTTATTAAATCGAAAATGCCTAAAAATAAGTATAAACCATTTAGTTAAAACAAACAAGATTGTGAAATTTTGACTATGGTTGAAAAGCAAAAGATGGTTATACTTACTAGGTCATAATGCCTGAGCCACCAAAATATTAGGGTAAAAACCCTTTAAATTACATTTAGTTATGAAATGTTGTACATTGTGTTATAAAATAACTGTGATGTTCAGTATTAAATTAAATTTGACTATAGGTAACACATGGCCAATTGGGTTCCAGAGCCGGGTGAGAGGGAACCTCTGCACTCGGAGAACAACGTGGAACTGATTGACAAGATACTTTTGAAGGATGAAGATAACAGAATGTCAATGCAACAAAAACTATAAAAGTTGTACATAGTATTACTACAGCCAAAAGATTCAACAAGTTTTGATGATTTTAAAAAATAACAACAATCTAGGTGTTGGGATTAAAAAACTTTTTATTTATTAATTTAGGGTATAAAAGATGTCAAATCAATGATGGTTTTATAGTCATGATTAATATAATGACCTGTGCCTTAGGCAACTTATGTTGCTTTTCGTCGTATGGAATGTGGTCTAAAGTGTATTTAATTTTGGGTTAGCTTGTATTTATGAAATTTATCCTTTTATGTTTAACACATCTAGGACAAGGTAAAAATTAAATAACAAATATTTGAAGCTAATATCAGACCTCATATTTAAATGACTTTATTTAAGAATGCTCCTATGGTGGAAAATTAATAAAATTAAGTTTAGTAAGATGGAAATCTACAGGCTGAAGAAATTGAAGTAGTAACATATGTGATTGAATTTAAAATTGAAGAGACTGGGTTCCTCAGAGACTAATGAGAATGAAAGTAAAAGAAATGACCGAAGAAAAGGAGGGGGGGGTTGAAGGAGAAAAGGAGTTGATCAACAATTAGAGATAATAGGGGTCCTTTATACTTAAAGTATCTAGCCCCTGAACAAAATCTATTTAGGTGGTATTAAATTCAGTTTGTAGAAACCTGAAATTGTTGTATAAGTGTGCTACTAAGTTGTTGACCGAAAGAAGGTGGACAAAGGTAGATTAGGATTCTTTGTAATATGGTAGATTATGAATTTTAATAAATTGTTAGATAATGGTTGAGTGATTACTAAATTAAAACTATTGGATACATGTTTAATATATGAATTGACCAAGAAATAATGAAAGAGAACAGAATTAACAGGAAAGCGATGTTGAAGTGAAGAGTGGATAAGATAGTGAAATGTTGGTATGATGGATGTGGATGGTTCTGAAGTTAAAATTGGGGTCAGAAATTTGTGAGAGGAAGGTGTGACGATATTGTATAAAATGGGTGTTTGAAGAACCACAAGATTATGTAGGAATAAGGTGTTGACGTTTGTATAGGAAAATAAGGCAGAGAAAATAGGACAGTATTGTGAAGTGTGGACTATGAAAAAAGTTGACGATGTAAAGGTTGAAAGTCACGGTTGAAAGATACATGGCGATTAACACAATTGGGGCTTTTTTGTTTTTCTTTGACTATTTCCAAGTCTTCATATAGATCTAATTTTAGAAAAATTTTTTGGGAAATATTATGTAACAAAGAGACGTCTTCTGGGATGTTGAGGGTATGTTTATGTTGTTTAATATATGTTGTTTTATATTTCTATGCCTTATTTTCCTATACAAACGTCAACACCTTATTCCTACATAATCTTGTGGTTCTTCAAACACCCATTTTATACAATATCGTCACACCTTCCTCTCACAAATTTCTGACCCCAATTTTAACTTCAGAACCATCCACATCCATCATACCAACATTTCACTATCTTATCCACTCTTCACTTCTACATCGCTTTCCTGTTAATTCTGTTCTCTTTCATTATTTCTTGGTCAATTCATATATTAAACATGTATCCAATAGTTTTAATTTAGTAATCACTCAAACATTATCTAACAATTTATTAAAATTCATAATCTACCATATTACAAAGAATCCTAATCTACCTTTGTCCACCTTCTTTCGGTCAACAACTTAGTAGCACACTTATACAACAATTTCAGGTTTCTACAAACTGAATTTAATACCACCTAAATAGATTTTGTTCAGGGTGCTAGATACTTTAAGTATAAAGGACCCCTATTATCTCTAATTGTTGATCAACTCCTTTTCTCCTTCAACCCCCCATCCTTTTCTTCGGTCATTTCTTTTACTTTCATTCTCATTAGTCTCTGAGGAACCCAGTCTCTTCAATTTTAAATTCAATCACATATGTTACTACTTCAATTTCTTCAGCCTGTAGATTTCCATCTTACTAAACTTAATTTTATTAATTTTCCACCATAGGAGCATTCTTAAATAAAGTCATTTAAATATGAGGTCTGATATTAGCTTCAAATATTTGTTATTTAATTTTTACCTTGTCCTAGATGTGTTAAACATAAAAGGATAAATTTCATAAATACAAGCTAACCCAAAATTAAATACACTTTAGACCACATTCCATACGACGAAAAGCAACATAAGTTGCCTAAGGCACAGGTCATTATATTAATCATGACTATAAAACCATCATTGATTTGACATCTTTTATACCCTAAATTAATAAATAAAAATTTTTTTAATCCCAACACCTAGATTGTTGTTATTTTTTAAAATCATCAAAACTTGTTGAATCTTTTGGCTGTAGTAATACTATGTACAACTTTTATAGTTTTTGTTGCATTGACATTCTGTTATCTTCATCCTTCAAAAGTATCTTGTCAATCAGTTCCACGTTGTTCTCCGAGTGCAGAGGTTCCCTCTCACCCGGCTCTGGAACCCAATTGAGCCATGTGTTACCTATAGTCAAATTTAATTTAATACTGAACATCACAGTTATTTTATAACACAATGTACAACATTTCATAACTAAATGTAATTTAAAGGGTTTTTACCCTAATATTTTGGTGGCTCAGGCATTATGACCTAGTAAGTATAACCATCTTTTGCTTTTCAACCATAGTCAAAATTTCACAATCTCGTTTGTTTTAACTAAATGGTTTATACTTATTTTTAGGCATTTTCGATTTTAATAACCTGATGATGGACTGTGTGGTCCGAAAACGTTTGTTTTATTGATGTGGCCCTTTTAAGGGTTTTTTAAATAAATATACCCATTTACAAAGATTAACCTCTTTTTCTTTTTTTTTTTTTTTTTTTTTTTTTAATTTAGGTATATTTTAAAGTCTACAGAGTAGACTTAGAGTAGAAGAAATTAAAAGAAAAGTGTGTAAATAACATAATATTAATTAAGCACTAAATTAAATAAGTAGCATATCAGAATCTCATAATTTCAGAACTGAAAGAAGTAGAACATCTATATCTACATTAGATATAGAGGTGACAAACATGCGAATAAATAGTGCGATTCGAAATGCTCATAGAAAATATAAGGAAAAAGGAAAAAACAAGATGGATACACTTACTCAAGCTACTAAAGATCTTATAAACATAAGAAGAGAATTAAAAAACAAATACACAAATAATTTTGTAACACTTAGACAGTTAAACAAAGAAATCACAAAATCCATTCTAAAAGATGTCAGAAATTACAACACTGAATACATAACTCAAGCCCTTGGTAAAAATAAAAGTTAAAAGGTTCTGCGCCGACAAATGACTGAAGGATCGAAAAATAATTGTAAACTTCTAAATAAAAAAGGAGAAACTACTACAAATGAAGACTACAAGGAAAAAATCAGACATGTCATTTTTTTCAAATTTCAGATTTCTATTGTATGTTATAGAACACGCGAATAAGCACATTTTAGAGCTATCGTACAGGGCAAAAAGTAGTCTTGTTATGAGTAAAAACACTTCAATGTTTCGGGGTACCGGGAAAAAAACCAGCTTTGTCCATCCGTCCAGTGAAAGAACCAGATATGTCACAAATTTCACGGTAGATAACGTTGGATTAATTTAAAAAATTTTATTAAACAATGCGTGTTTCAATAATAGAAAGTTTTTTGTAAGAACAGACATTTGTGAATATCGATTATCATTATTTTTCTGGATGATCAAATGTTCAGCAAGACATTTATGCATTGATATAACATAACATAGTAGAAATACTGGTTTTGTTTCTTGTTAAAATATAAACAGGCATGTAGAAAAAGTTCGGATTTCTAAAACGGTTATTTCATAAAACTGAATGTAAAAAAATGTATTCTCTATCTCAAGAAAAAAATCCAAATGTTCACGTGTCGTACGAAACGTACTGGTGTATTTTTGTACAGGAGATTTTTCGGGTATCCGCATAGCGATACTACTAAAAGGCTGAGGCATTCTATTGACGAAGAAGGAAAGCAAGAAAAAACAGCAGAGGAACGAAAAAATGGAAGCAATTTGTATTGATTTTGCAAAGAATGTACTAATCCCAAATATTGCGACAAACGACGTGTACTATTAGCGCCAGCTATCAATGTACACTTTTTATGTTCACGTCTTGTTGTCTGGTTAATCAATGTTTTACTCTTACCACGAGGAAATTGCCAAAAAAGGTTCCAATGAGGTGGCATCGTTTTATTACATTTTATTAATAAATTTTTTGATGATGAGGTTAAGAATTTAAAGTTTTTTTGTGACTCAGCTGGAGGACAAAACAAAAATTTTACAATATTCCGATTCATACATTTTTATTTATTTATTTATTCCACAACAAACACATTTTACAGAATAAAATGTAATTACAAGT